GGGGGGGAGGGGAACTGGAAGCTTACAAAGTAAACTAAGCAAGACGGCCAGACTCCTATCTGCCATTGATCTTCGTGTGCCAAGCGGCATGTGGTCAAGAATCCGGCTGGTGTTCAAGTCCAGCATGGAGCGAAATACGGTCTGGATGTCGTTCCAAAGCGAATATCAGAATCAAGACGATTAGCCTCCAAGGGACCAAGGACTTGGGACTTGGCATCTTTACAATTTTGCTCTTAATCTGCCATCCATGCCCAGGGACGGGGGTTCCAGATCCCACCCTTTGAATAAGCGAAAAGTTGTAAATTTCCAAAGGAGCCACTACCGTGCGACATGGCTCTAGTCAAGAACTGTATAGCCGACGGTTTCCCTGTCTCGAATAGTATTTCTGAGCAGTGAGTCGTACAACTATGCACAGCTACTGTCCAATCGTAGCATTTTTTCGGCTTAGCTATTTGTCTCCAAGTTGATAGCATTTATCCCCCCCTCCCCCCCTCTTCTGATGAAAAAAAAAAAATGTCAGCCCATAGTTACAGTTTACAGTACCAAAACTCTCCGTATTCGGGCTAGCTTTGCGGTCCTGCCCGTTCCAGCATTGACAGAGCTGCCGCTCCCCGGAGCAACCATTTTGTGTTTGTAATCTTCTCGGCTGTTCATGCCTCCAGTTTCCATTGCCGTGCGGTACTTCCCAAGCCAGGTCCTCCTTGACCGCTCGACTGAGCAGCCTTCCAACAGTGTACCGGTAGAACTCAATCGGATCCGATCACTACGTAGTAACTACAAGTAACCTTCTACCTATCTAGTAGTAGTACTGTAGTACGTAGTACGTGCTCTTGTGCGCATCCCCCCCTTACATATAAGCCTTCCGATATACTCCCACTTGTCTGCTTGGGGGGATAGTCTCCGGAGAGGTAGTACTACGTAGGTCCCTGGCAGGTCTGTACGGCCCAGCCTTACGGCAAGCTCAACCCGGATCTCCTCAAAGTCTAAAAGATTGCGACCAACCCACCCCTCCAGACACAAAGGCAGACCCAGCTGAGCCCGCCAATCGTAAAAGCAGAGCGGCACTATTGAGAATTGATCCCAGGATCTCATCCAAAACCACTGCGTAGTCCCAACACGTACTATAGTACTACGAAGAGATCAGCTCATCAAAAGGTAGCTTTCAAGACAAGCAAAAATCAAAGCATAAGAGTATATAAATATATACTGTATTGAATAGTAAACTCATCTTTACGGCTTTAAAAGCACTCTCGGATCAGTATGTATGCTTTACGTTACTGTTAAGAATAAGACCTTTTCATCTCCATGATTTAAATACGATATAATCGTCGGTTTCCTCAAATTTCATTCGATTCGAAAGAATCGACCGACTTGCTGTGGCAAGTCGGCACCACCAAGGCGGGACGGTAAAATCTGCTCTTTTATAATAAATAAGTAAAAAATCAACGAACTATTACATCGTAATTATTTCTGTATCAAAGGATGCAACGCATAAAGTTTAATATCAATCAATTAATCAAATTCTCATAACAAGTTCTGATTCCTTTCTGGTGTTGAGTTAAAGTAGTAAAAATAGTTCTCTTGATATGTAATTTTCGATTTGACTAATGCGTACATATCAGAATTGCCGCGCATATATTAGAATGAGCGAGGAACATCAAAATCGGACTTTTTATTTAAACCCATTAAAAAAAAATTACGTGCATCATTACCAACTTTAATTCAATAATTAATACCTTTAATAATGGAATAGATAGAATAGTTTATGGTCAATTTATGGGATGTGTTTTTTTTTTTCCAATCAAGGTTGTGTTTTTTTGGGATATTCGTAATGAACAAACAAATTTGAATTATTCAAGACAGTTTTTAGCTACGTTTTCATTACATTTTCATGTACTATATCACCAAAAATGAATGCATTTCTAAATTTGGAATGTATATCTATAGAGCAGAGTTTTCTGAGCATATGTATTATTTTTATTTTTATTTATATTAGTAATGGTTGTTTAATAAGTGGTATACCGTTGCTGTCCCGCCTTGCTGGGTGTCCCGCCTCGGTGGTGCCGACTTGCTACAGCAAGTCGGTCAATTCTTTCGAATTAAATTTCAGGAAACCGACGATTGATGCGAGATGATAATACGCGTTGTTAAAATCTTGGATTTATCGGGTCCTTATTTTAATTATAAGTGTAGCGAAGACTTCCCGATCGTCATACGGATATCAAGTATCCGAATGAAGTATTCCTGTCGAGTATGATATAGTAATCCTGTCAGGTATCACTATCACGCATAACATTCGCATTGCAAGAGAAACCGTCTCTTTGGTATAGCTCCGCTCCGATATCCAAATCGTTTTTTTAATTAATTATTAAATAGTCGCCTCACGGTTACGCTATCGATCGGAATCGCATTCGTCTTAAGAAACGGGAAGTCTTTTGGCAATGGAGGTTGAATAGGCTGATTACAGCTTGCAAAAGGATTTATATTAACGAATGATATCCGCCAAAGGGTCGTTCTCCCTCTCGGTTTCCTCGGCTTTTGCTATCATCGCATCTTCCAATTCGTCGATATCGATCTTATTATCGACATTATCGTCGCTACGGTTGCTCGCTCTTTGAAGAAGGAGGAGATCGTATTCGAAGCTAACAAAAGAAAGAGAAACACTGCGAGTACGAGGCAGATATCGACCCGCGGATGAGGGTGATAATAGTAATAATGTAGAAGCAGAGCGCCTACGGCATAGTATAAATACTGTAGTTCCGATATAATAAAGTTGATTTGCAAGTTTGAGATTGCGACGGTGCTGTTAAGAATAGCTTTATTCTTTTCTAATAGATTTTAGTGGCGAGAATAGAAATTACCCCAGTTTAAAAGTCGGTGTACTACAGTACGTATTTTGAAAGTCGGTGTAGCGCACGCAACGGAACGACAGTGACGGAGCGCAGCCGACAGCTTGGCTTATTGGCGCCCGGTTAGCCAAGCGTGTGTTTCGGTCTTTGTTACGTAGTACTACTACGTAGTACTTGGTACGTACTGTAGTACATGCCCGAAACAATGTACAAAGGCCGTCTGTGCACGATTCTACAGGTTTCTATCGACAGGGATTTCGTGCAAGAGGTACTACTAATAATATAACGATAATAATTCGCCGCTTTTTGCACCAAAAATCAGCACTTTCATCATGGAGCCTTCACTTAGTGCTATACGAAATATTAGAAAATAAAAGCAGCATTGCCAAGTATTTAGGGTGCACAGATTAGAATTGTACATTATTTACCCATAGTACGAAGTACGTAGGTATACGAGAAGCAAGCAGCTTCGGCGAGCGGAATCGGCCTTCCTTGGCCTTTCCACCCTTTGACTCCCATAGGTACTGTAATAAACCACCACCAAGATGACTCCACTTTTGGACTTTTGGAACACTAATCAGTGATCGTCATCTTTTGAAACCGTTTACCTTACATACTAAATTCTTAGTTATAGCGCTGATTCTATATTTGAGATAATTAAGTGACTTACTACTAACTCGGCTGCGAAAATTGTCTATTATTGTATGTACTCCCCCCTTACGAAACATGTCGAAAGTATAAATAATTTTGCAAAAGATTTTACCAAGGCTTAAACCAATCAACTTGGAACAATCCAGCCTCGAAAAGTATCTTCAAGTTAGTATTAATCTGTGCAATTAAGTTAACAGAGCTTTGAGCAGGTTAAAAATAGCGCTCTATGATTTATAAGCTTAACCTACTACGTATAATGTTCGAGGTATAAGAAATAATCGGCCTTCGGTCGAGCTTCGTAAGGTTTATCGCCCAGTAAGCGCCGCATCGAATGAAACGAAATACCGTAGTAATACGAGAAAGAGAAGAGGGAAGAAATAATTAATATAGATCATATTTATTTGCGACAAAGCCGAGTTATACTACTTGATTCGAAGTTTACAATTGTGATAATTTTAGATATAGGCTTTTGAAATGTACTTATATACCTTTAAAGTCTTCTTATATTTTTATTCATTATCAATACGGTCCGGCACCATCTTCCTTATAGCTATTTATCTACTTCTCAAAACAATAGCTCTTCTTTAACTACTTTATCAATATGCGATTCATCAACGCTCTTTTCGCTGCAACTATTATTGCAGTCGCGCATGCGGAAGAACCTGTTCCCGCTCCTGGGCTGGATCCTGAAAATCCAGATGGGGCTTCTACACGCTTAGGACAACTCTTAGTCTGCGAAGACCCTGACTGGAAAAAGTGCACGAACATCACTTATTTGCAAGACAAATGCTGTAAGAATTCCTTTCATTTTTTTCAATTATTTGAAAAGTTTAGAAGCTAATAAATACAAAAAGTTGGACTCGACGAATTTGATCTTAACGATAAAATGACCGGTTTCGATACTTTCTCGTACGGATGCGAGTTTTACGGGTAAGCAAATCATTATTATAATATCGCAATTTAATTTCATTTCAAATAGCTAATGAAGATCAGTCTTGGCACGTGCGAAACCGATGATTTCTATTTCGTTTGGCGAGGTGCTGTCACCGATCTTTTGTCGACCAATTATTCTTTGTCTAACGACCAAATTTCTGCATTCCGTTGCGGAACGTAAAATATAAAGATTTATCGCGATATCGAGATTCCGAGATACGATATCGAAAGATATAAAAAGATGAATAGCGAAAGGAGGTCGTTTTCATATGGTAAATTAGATGTATCTATATGGCTATGTATTGCTAGGCAATCACGACTTTATTAAAAAGCTCCTTATCTATAAGTCTGAAAGGATGAAAGGAGGCCCACCTAAGCGAGCCGACGATTACAAAGTTTCGCTATAAACTACGTAGTACCAACGGTACAGGCCTAAGTACTACTAATACCCCTCGAGGGTGCCTCAAAAGTTTAGTGTCTACTTTGAACCCCCTGGTTACCCTACCCTCGAGGGGTAATACTTACGCTAATAATACTTAGGCCTGTACCGTGGTACTTACGCCTGCGACGTGGTACTACGTACTTAGGCCTGTACCGTGGTAGCTGCTAACCATGCGCTAATAAGGCAAGCCGTCGGCTGCGCTCCGTCACTCTCGTTCCGTTGCGTGCGCTATACCGACTTTCAAACTGGGTCAATTTCTACTTTCGCTATTAAAATCTATTGGAGAAGAGTAAAGTTATTGTTAATAGCACCGTCGCAATTTTAAATTTGCAAATCCAACTTTATTATATCGAAATTATTTATATTATTATCGGTATGTCCATATCGACCTTAGCTAGCTAGTAGTAGTTGGGAGTCCTACTCGTGAACCAAGGTTTACGGGTCACTTGGCGTGCCTCGCTTGGCATGTTACGCTAATCAAAGGACCCCCAACTTGACTATAAAACCTAGTAGTTAGCTAATGCATGTGATCCCTTCTACTACAGTACGTACTACGTACTACGTAATTGTACGTAGTATAAAAGGGATCAGCTCCTTTAAACCTTAAGGAGCAGACAGAATTGACATACTATTACAACCGAGTGAATTGCAATTGCAAGAGCTTTGACGACCGTTACGATATACGAATATATATTCCCCGATCGCTAAAAGCAATCCAACAATTATGCCGTAAGCGCTTTGCTTTTACATTATTGCTATCATCACTTTTATCCGCGGGTCGATATTTGCTTCGTACTCGTAATGTTTCTTTTTCTTCTGATGGCTTCGAATACGATTTTCTTCCTTTTTAAAGAGCGAGCAACCAAGCTGCATTGCGAAGCTTAAGGAGCGGTCGAAACGATAATTGTTGGATTGCCTCTAGCGATCAGGGAATATATATTCGTAAATCGTAACGGTCGTCAAAGCTCTTGCAATTGCAATTCACTCGGTTGTAATAGTATGTCAATTCTGTCTGCTCCCCAAGGTTCAAGGAAGCTGATTCTTTTTATACGATTAAAAGGAATCACGTGCACTAGCTAACTACTAGGTTTTACAGTCAAGTTGGGGGTCCCTTGGACTGTGACACGCTAAGCGAGGCATGCCAAGTGACTCATGAACCAAGGTTCACGAGTGAACTCCCCCCTAACTACTACTAGCTAGCTAAGGTCGATATGGATATACCGACAATAATTTCGATAATAAGATCGATATCGACGAATTAGAAGATGCTATGATAGCAAGAGCCGAGGAAATCGAAAGGGAGAACGACCTTTTTGCATAGTTCCAAATCCTAGTGTTTATGTAAGGAAAAAATAAGAAGTAAAGATTAAAAGGTACGGCAAGATACTTCCTCGACTTGCTTTAGATGCATTATTTTCTAGTAAAGTATATCAAAAGATCGTATTCAAGCCAAAAATAAGTATAGAAAGATTGCTCGGAGTATCTAGATCTAGCAAAATACATTAAAGAGCAAGATTTTGAGCGAGAATTACTACGAGTTCGAATTAAGTTTGGAAATGAATAAGATTTTTAATTATGTATACATAGCTATTGAAAAAAAAATTAGCGTTAGTAATAAATTGTAAACATTTTATTTAGTAAGCGTTGCTAGCAATTTCGATGTTCCGAATCAGTTTGAAAGTCGGTATGTTTTGAAAGTCGGTGTAGCGCACGCAACGGAACGAAAGTGACGGAGCGCAGCCGACAGCTTGCCTTATTAGCGCACGGTTACTTAGCGAACCAAGAGAGGGGTCTCGAAAAATGAACAGAACGCGTTGCTGGGGATTGGCTGCGGCGTCGCAACGAAAAAAAAATAAAAGAAAAAAAAAAGAAAAAAAAAAGTCAAACCGAAGCTTTCTGACGGATTCTGCTAGTACTAGGTAGTACTAGGTAGTACGTATCAACGCCCTCCGCGCAGAACCTTTGAGGTAAACTACTCTTGATTGTTGGGCCTATACGCTATACGGAGGTATAGTTGGGATAGACATGCAAGCAGGCATGTCAATGCTCGTTGATTATTAGAGTGGTCGTAGTAGTAGCTTTTATTTACGTCGGGCGGGTATCCGAACCGCAATACCCAGTTGGACCTGGAGACCTCTTCTAGGGTACGGCAACGTGCCAAGTCAAGAAGCTACTACCACGTCACGGGCGTAAGTGGTACCGGTACCGGTACACCCTACCCTCGTTGTCAGTAGTGTGCAATCGAAAGGTAAAAGTCACGTTAAGGAAAAGCTTCCCCTTAGATAGCGTCGGCTTTCTGATCCGGCCGCGGCACCGCAGACCCCTTCCTTCTGTGGGTAGACCCTTCGAAAGCATTTTCTTTTAAAGAATCTGCACCGGGTACGGTACAGTAGTAGGCTTTTCGATAACCCGTCGCATACGCATACGCACAGCCGTGCAGGCGGCCCCGTCCCTATGATATGCATAAAAAATACTTACCATTCTCGTTACTGTATCGTACTTATCATCGCAGAGCGCGGTCGAGTCGGCGTGCCTGTATGAATACGGAGACGCTCTTAGCGCTCTTAGCGAAAGCGTAATGCCGCGTTTTCGATCGATCGGATCGAGCGAAGCCCTTCTTCTTCTTCTTCTTCTTCTTTCTTCTTCTCATCTCTTCGCTTCTGTTTTCCTCGTGGCGCAGATCCGGTGGTCGCAAATCTTCTTAATCTTTCTTGTCCCGTCAATATGCGCGTCGTGCGCGATGGGGCCTGCAAGGTGGAGAGAGAAGCGAGAAAAATAGGATGACTCAGCGAGCGGAATCCAGCGTTCGTGGGACGGAAAGCGAGCTTTTTGGCTGCTCGACGCTAGAGGTTCGGATACTTACCTTCGAGGGAAGTAAGGGGTCATTTCAATGCTCCTCTGACCGAGCATATAGTAGTACGTAGTATTTTAATTATTTGCGTACTACAACAAGTTATCGAGAACGGTTTTCAGGTCAGGAACGGTCCTGGGGACGGGTCCCAAGATGGTCTTTTCGTAACGAGACCGACTATTATAAACGACGATTTAATTGATTAAATCGGTTCTATTATAGCGATGGTTTTAATTTTTTTTAACGAGCTAATTAAAAGTGTGATTCCACTTCAGCTCAGCTACAGACCCAGGGTGATGCACCAGCTACCATGCAAACCCCTCAAGACCGTTTCCAAAAGAGATCGCTATCGGACGATCAGCTAGGTGACTGTCTAAAAGTCCCAGCATCGATCCTCGTTCAAGGTACCGTAGTCGTCATCATTTCCACTATTTCTTGCTAGGCGGCCACTTCCCGCCGCTGGCAGTCCTCACCGCGCATGCCTTGCTATAGAATCATCTAAACCAATCGGTAGTAGAGGCGGGAGTTTTGACTTTGCAAATGGTTTGATACTCACAGGATTTTCATCAAAAGGTCGAAAGTATCATCTCGCAAGGGCTCTGACTAGGGCTTGAACCAATTACAGGTACTACGTAGTGCTTACGTAGTACTACGTACGTAGTAACTTGTATATAGTCTGTGCAATAGAGTTGACAAGTCTTTGAGCCATTTCTACTACGTAGTACCACGGTACAGGCGTAATTGTTCCACCCTGGAGGGTAGGGTAACCAAGGGCTTTGAAGTGGAATTCTAGACTTTGAAGGCACCCTCAGGGGGCTAACAATTACGCCTGTGCCGTGGGTATTAGAAACCACCGCTCGATGATTCATGGGGCTAGACAGGGTCCGACATGAATTTGGGGGGCGGGATCAGCTTTAAAGAAAAAAAAATCGTTGGCTCGCTTAAATAGGCGTCCTATCATCCTCTCAGTCTTAAATACTTTCCGTAGGCAAGCGATCGGTCTCAGTGTACAGTAATAGAGTTGACAGGGCTTGGAGCTATCCAGAAAGGGAGCTGCCGTTCTCACGAAATACACGTCTACTACCGATACAGCGCTGAACTGGATCTGCCTTTTTCTCGAGCAGGGGGATAGTAAGTATCGGTACCGGTATCGTATCTACGATAAGCGGTGACCGTTGTTCGTATCGGTTTGCTTCGATTCTTTGTGCGGAGTAATGGCGCGTCTATAATTATACCATCGAGGAGAAAAATGAACGGCTAAAAAAACTTCTCGTGTATGTCTTGGGAGCAGTAACCAGCCTCAGGACTGGTTTTTTTTTCTTTTTTCTTTTCTTACCTGGTATTCGACAGTCTTCGAAATGCAGTATCTTGAAGGCGTCGAAGCAGTGACACGATAATATGCGCGGAAGTGATATCCGATGCGAAGTGTAGCGGAGGACGAGAAGCGGCCATGGTGATGGGTATAGAATGGCATCTTTGATCACGTGCTCAATGGAACATGACCAATTTGAATACGGAAGGTGCCCCAATCTCAGGTGGTATACACAACGCAGTAATCTTCCGTACGGAGTCAACTATTTACATAATATTTCATATGCATATTTTCGATTCGGAATGGGAAACTTGCTAAAGTAGATAGACGAGTGAGAAATTGAGAACGGATATCCGATATAGAATCAGGAGACTCGTGATCTTAATCTTGGAAGTCGGAGGCTTCCAAATCTCCGAAGAATCATAAGGATAAACACTACTCTTGAAAAGTTGGGGCTAGGCATGCTTTTATTCACCTAGGATGCTACGTAGTGCGTTGTAGTTCTAGAATGTGAGCCGACTTCTGTGTTGATGCTTTGGGATTTGCTTACGTGAAAATACTACGTAGCAGCTCATACTAATGGATAGGCAATGAGCCAAAACCGAAGTCAATTCTCGAACAGCGAGCTTTCGTAGCATCCTTCTTCTGTGTGTGGAGCTTAGGCCGCGCGTCATCTGCTGAGAACCTATTGGCGATATCAAGCGAGCAACTATACCCGTAGCTCTGCTTTTGCGTGTACCATATAACCAATCCTCTGAAAGAAGGAATCGAACTGCATCTGAGTGCATAAACTCGAAAATGACAGGCTAATAATACAGAGAAAGATGCATCCTGGACTGCCCGAACCGATAATCGCATCACTGCTATTCTGAGAATATCATCCTGGGTTAGTAATTTGTAAGCGTGAAAAGAACTTAAACTATTTTGTTGTTATATGGGGAAACATGGCACAAGTTGCGGCTATCCCCACTTACTGTGGCAGAATATCCGTTTCCCGAATGAAGACTAGCTACCTAACTTGATCAAAGGAGCCTTATGGAAAGCCTGATCCTACCATTCATAACATAACTCTCCTGTTACCTCCTCCAAACGCGATGAAAATTGATTGAAAGTATGCAAAATCAAAGTATACTGTGGTGGGATCCAACCCCTTACGTATTGTATAGGTAATACAGAGCCTTCTTGGCTTGGGAACATGTAAGTGAGTTTATTTGGATGTACCTTCAGGAATGAAGCTGCGCCAGTTTCATTTCTGCGTCATCCTGGACCCCCAAGAGATTATCTGAATCATTGTTGCATAAACCAATACTGGAGATAGATCTTAGGTAACTGTATGATGCAGACTTCTTTTCCGTGAAGTGTGCGTTGCAAGTTTGAACTAGGTGCTAGCGCAAAAATCTCGACTGTATTTGCAGTTCGTGGCGCGAAGATGCTTCTGCCAGTGACCGCGCTTGTCAGGGTTGGAAGCGAACTTTTAGCCCGATTGGTGAACTGGGTATTGCGTATCTTGAGCGTAGTTCAAGAGACGGGGAAGAGGTAGCTCAGTAACAATCTAATGGTCGTAGAGATTCCCGGAAGTCTGGATCGTGCTCTTGCCGCTTCCTGATATGAAAAAAAAAAAAAAGTATTCTTGCGAATTTAATAAGCTACATTTGCTCTCTTGCAATCGAAATCCACCTTTTGCGATTAAGAACTACGAATATAAAGTCTTCTCCTCCCGAATACTTGATTAATAGCGAATTAATAATTGGAAAAGAAATGCTCGGAAAAATGCTTGCTGCATCGCTTTGACAGAGGCTTATTGCTATACATAAAATGCATCGCACTAAAAGAACCTATTATTATACGTAGTACGTAGTAGATCATATAGCGACAAATAGTAGTATTACACCGAAGTCCGGAAAACTTACTCCGGAGCTTGCGGAAGGCCGTAAGTTTTAGCTTGCGGCCGGGCTGAAGCGTTACATTTCTTTACATCCTTTACATCCTTTTAAAGCGTATTACTGATAGAAAATTGATGTAGCGTTAATGCGGAAGGCAGCCTTGCACCACGACCGGGGCGAGGCGAGGTCCCTTGGCCCCGGAGCTTGCGGAGGGCCGCCAGGGATCAGACCTCGTATAGTACCGTACCGTATACGAGTCCACTTGGGAGCTCACACATCGTTCGGAGATTTTAACAGGCTAGTGATATTCCTCAATTGCATTTCTCTGGCTTGCATCTTGGAGTCAAACAAATATTGGGGGATCGGGGATCGGGGATCCCACTTCGCCTTAATGGTTATGCTCTTTCCCCTTTTGACAATGCTTTTTCCATTGGTCTTGCATTAACTTTTACTACGTATATTGCTTCCATCGCTCGTCATTCATCATCCAACTACTAGTTCAGTTCTTAATCAACATGAGCTGAGCCGTTAAGGTCTACAGGGGTGTAAATTCAATTATTGGGAATTGAAAGTTTACTAGTACGTAGTACGCTCCTGTGACGTTTCTATAATTCTGTGTTAATACAAATTTCAAAAGTGAATACAACGGCGTCCTTCAGATAAGTTATCTCTACTTAAGCTGTAGAACTCTTTACTACTATATGCGTAGTAGTATATTATTCAATGAGTTTTAACAAGGCTGCGCGCCGAAGAGCCTCCGCACCACTAGCGCCGATCTAGCGTATTTCACGTGATTCCGGTAAACAAACCAACCCAAAACGACAAGTTTTTGAACTATCGATCTCGAAGACACCACTTCGAATTCACACAGCTCATCACTCGCAAAAACAACCTATACAATATAGACAACCGAGCAGACAAACACGGTCTTGCTAGAGCATACTTTCAAGACAAACATCATCAAAGCTATGTATTTCGCTCAGCAGGTCCAAAGCTTCAGCCGCCCGCCTTTGTCTTCCAAAAACCAGGTGTGACGAGTAAGAATAAAAATACACCCGTCAAGAAGGGTGCCAGAGAAGGGGCCCCCCAAAAGGGTACTTCTGATTCAGCTGACGATTAACGATCCTGATGCACACTTTCTGGGACTTTCATTCCTAGTAGCAGCGTGAGCAGCGGCAACAATGGCAGCACCAGCCCTAGATGTGGCGCAGACGAGATATTGAATAGTGACGGAGGAAAGGAGGAATTTATCAATCAGATCCTTAGTCAAGATGTTCAAGTACAGAGCCTATGGATGGCAGCCATTTGCTCCTCCTGCTCCACAAGGTGCAGAAGAAATCGACACTCATGCCGAGAGTCCCTTCCTTCCTCTTTCTCTACCACTCGCCGCACCGGGTCTGCGATACCAGTCTATCCAGCAGAAAATAAAACCAAACTCGGAAACCAGATGTCAATCGACTCCGGTCAATCTGGGGAGTCAATCGTCTCCCGCTCAATCTGGGGAGCCAATCGCTCTCGTTGCATCTAAGAAGGCAACCCGATCTAAGTTGACAAAGGAAATCATACCCTGCGAGCGCAACGGCTGCAAGAAGACGTAACAATCTCAAAGCGCAATAAAGAAGCATGTTCGTATTGCTGCAGAGCACGACGGGGAGAAGGGTGGGCGTGTCCGATACACGTTGCGAGTTGAGGAGGAAAGAGATCTAAAGCACATGGGCATTTCCGAGCGTCAGATGGCGGCGCTGATGACAGGACCCTTTTCAAACCTTGGCAGATCACCGGTAAGGCCCCCTTGTCCCTCCCCCTACTTTATGTTCCTATCTTCAATGTCTCTTTATAGATACGAATCTGTTAGAGGCGTCGCATTTTATTACTTGCAGGTTCTCATGTTTCCCCTTTGTCCTTCCTGCGCGATTCGCAGAATTTGTCTACAACCTGCCTCCCCCGCTATGTATAGATCTTTATCTACAAACACCTGCGACGTTCTTTTCCTTGCCGATTCTCATCTCCAGCTATTATGTCGCCACTTGGAGGTGTTTTGATCTACCTCTACCGTCTCTTCTCTTTGCACTTGTCACCCGCTGACCCGTCATTTAGATATCACGCTTGTGTGGTGCTGCCGCCCCCACGATCGCTCTAAGATACCTGGCCACTGTCATTTTTAAGAACATCATCATCTTTTCTCCATACGTCAACTGCATCTACCGCTTGAAGACCCATTCAGCTCTCGGAGCGGAGGCCAGAGACAAGGTATTCGCTGATCTCTTCGGTTACGAATCTACCACGGTACAGGCCTAGGTATTACCCCTCGAGGGTGCTAGTACGTCCCAGGCGTAAGTATTACCCCTCGAGGGTTAAACAGGGGGTTTAAAGTGGAAACTAAACTTTTAAGGCACCCTCGAGGGGTAATACTTAGGCCTGTACCGTGGTAGTAAGACCGGATGCCAGGACTGGAAGACGCGGATGAGGCGCGGATCTGCGTCGCCGCCGATCGGGACTCGCTTGTATGCCCGGGAGGGAACGCCGGATTGTGTTATCGACGAGGACTTCGACGACTCAGAAACATGTGCATGGCGTTGCCTCTTGGCCTCTTATCGTCACGATTGGCACTTGGCTAACCTTACAATCTGCATAACCGTGATAGAGGTCGGCCGGTCTGTCTTTTTCTGAGCGTATCTTCAAGGGGGGTTTATCATGCTTGGCACTAAGAGTAGAAGTACGGATGTGGAGTGATACAGCGGTTAAATGTTGTCCCCGGTCAATTGAAAAGTTGAACTAAACCCAAAAGGATGATTGCCTTGGATACTTGTATAATAGAACCTCAATGTAAAATAATAATAAATGTATCAATAAATATTTGGTAAATCGTCTTTCGGCATCAATTGCACTGCTGATTAATGCCCTAAAGCTTTAGAACACAATCTAAGTATTTAACCAAAGCCGTTATTGCGTTGCGGCATATAACAAGTCTTCAGATCGCTTAAACAGAAGTTTTCTCGGTAGGGCTAGGCCAGCCTACCTTATATCTGACCGGAGATAACATTTCACTGCCGCACATCCGTAAAGGGTATCTTGGTACACACTTAATGGGATCAGGTTGCATTGCAATGCAGGTCTCTATTGCTACGCTGACTTCTTATCACTAATCGTCAGCTCGCTTGGGTTATGGCCGCACTGATGTCGCACAATGGGACATGTATAGTTTGACTGTCAATTGCAGTAGAGTGTTCATTTTGTAGGAACCCTTTGTTCTTTATACCTGCTTGATTTGATAGCTAATAGCCTTCAGTGCGGGAGAATTTTACTACCAGCGTCTACCAGTGCCGGAACTATGGCCAGTGAGTCGCAGACCACTGAAATTATATACAGCATGCTCACTAATCAGGATATTCTCCACAAATTCAAAGCCAATGGCTTCAACGCAATTAGGTACGCCCCCCCCCAGCTCTTAGTGTGGACTTGACTAACATGTCTAGTGTTTACTTCTTCTGGTCGTATCAGTCCTCATCCAAAGGTGTCTATGACTTCGAGACCTCCGAGAAGAACGTTCAACTACTCTTCGACTACGCAAAAGAAGCCGGACTCTGGGTGATTGCCAGACCTGGCCCATTTAACAATGCGGAAACAAACGGCGAGGGATTCGCCCTCTGGGGATCCGACGGAAGTTTTGGAACACTGCGGTCCAGCGACCCAGCATGCTATGAGGCGTGGCAGCCGTAGATTGCACAAATGGGAGCCATCATTGCTAAAAACGAGGGGACAAACGGGGGAGTCGTCATTCTAAATTAGGTCGAGAACGAACTTTCACAGACTGTTCGCAGTCCGCAGTCCGGGTGAGACCTTGGTCATCTACCTATATGGAACAGCTCAAAAGGCATTCTGGGATGCCGGCATCACAGTACCGCTTACGCAAAACGAGAAGAGAATGCGCGAACGGTCATGGAGTTCCGAATAAGTGAATCGGGATCGGGCACACTCCGTCGAGAACCCGGAGACCTCCACCCCCCTTCCTAGAACCTGGTGCTGATATTCGATCGGCTAGCTATCAAAACTGTCGATATCTATGGCTTGGACTCATATCCCGCTGGTTTCTCATGTACAGACGGCAACGCTGGATTTAACCTCGTGAGAACCTACTACCAGTAGTTTGCCAACTACTATGTCGATCAGGGCCCCCTTTCCCCTCGAGTAAATCAGTCTCATTGTCTGGACAACTTTTGTTACAACCACTGAGCCCTGACCTCTAGCTCTTTTACCCAACCCGGATCCATGCCTAAGTTCCAAGGGGGATGATTCTCCCCATGGGGTAGAGGTTTCTATGATGAGTGTGCTTCAACGCAAGATCTGCAGTTCGCCGATGTTTTCTACAAAAACAACATCGCGCAGGGAGTCACACTTCTGACTATCTACATGGCTTATAGTGGAACCAATTGGGGTCATTGTGAGTCTGAACACGCGTCGAGGTATGCTTGTACTGAAAGTGCCCACAGCTCCAGTGGTCTACACTTCGTACGAACACTAAGCTTCATTGGGTGAAACGAGACAGATTCGGGATACGTTCTCTGCCTCGAAGTTGGTCGGCCTCTTCACTCGGGTCTCCTCAGAGATGCTCGCAATGGACATAGTCGGGAACGGAACCGGACAAGCTGTAAGTATCTCATTAATTGAGATCATCACAATCTAACGGCCGAAATCAAGTCTCAACGACGGCTATTTGGACCTAGGCATCCCGAAATCCCGAGACTGGTACAAGATTCTACACAACACAGCACGACACTTCCAGGTCCGGAGACTCGACGACCTTCTCTATCAGCCTTAATCCATCTGCAGGTGTCGTTGTCGTCCCGAATGTCAACTTGGATGGTCGCCAAAGCAAGATACTCGTCACGGACTACAGTTTCGGCCGCAGTACTCTTTTGTACTGTTCAACGGATATTTTAACTTACGGTATCTGCGACGTCGACGTACTTGTTCTGTATCTCAAAACCGGCCAGATTGGCCAATGTGCACTCAAAAACACTGATGCTGGAGCTACCCACTCGGTCATCGGGACTGCGGAAGTCGCAGTGACATTGGCAAATAGCACGACGACTACGTTCACGTATACTCAAACTGCTGGGAAGACTGCTCAGCTTCAGTAGTGTACTGATATATCTTGAGCAAAAAGAAGCTTGGAAGTTTTGGGCGCCAGCGACCACCAACCATCCAGATGTCAAGCCCAATGAACAGATCTTTGTTCTATAGAAAAACTTTATTTTGTCGGTTGAAGAGGTATACTTAAACTTGAGATTATTCTGTCGAATCTCAGAGAGAGAGAGAGAGAAAGAAAGAGAGAGCTTGCGAGAGACCGAGTGGGTTTTAGCGTCCCAAGCCTCGAGAATGAATCCGTTTGGCGCGGGCGGGCCAGTGATTCGAATTTGAAATTTGTGAAGACGTAGAGGCGTGACTGAAAGCGAAGCCGGGGCGGAAGTAAACGGAACGAAATGTGAATGGCGGCGGAAGGCGCTCGCTCCGTGGCTTTGAATGGCTGAATCGGCTATAGATTGATTCATATCCGGTATGCGAACGCTGTTGTTTATTGCCGCGGAGAGCTATGGTGGCTATATACAAGCCCTTTCGACCGACTGGGGGCACCCACGTACTACCGGAACCCAGTTTCAAATTCGTGAGGTCGGTGACGGAAGGACGGAAATTGATATCAATAAACGTGAGAAAGGGAAAAGGAGGGTAGAAGAAGAAGGTGTACGATGTGGGTCCTCGCCTAATAACGTGTTCCCCGTTAATAGTCAGTGCGCTCGCTCAGACTGCAAACCTGCGCTGGCTCCTTCCGATCTGGAATAGCATAGAAGAATGGAAGAACGAGCCAACAAAATTGCGTCTTTTCTTTCTAATTTCTTTCCCGATATTTATCAGGTGCATGTCTGGGTATGGTAATAGAACGGAAGGGCTTTGGATTAGTAGATGGATGGTTTAACAGGCATTGGGTGCGAAAGAGGAATCTTTGGGGTTTCGATTTCGGTGGGGGGAAAGAAAGGTTGATTTGTTGATTATGGCTGTGGCTGTAGCTGTAGCTGTAGCTGTAGCTGTAGCTGTAGCTGTAGCTGGGGCAATTTTTATGTATGGCCTTCATGTAGAATAGGTAAGAGTAGACTGGACTGCTCAAGTACATTTTGGATATTCATTGCATCATCTTGTTCGTGGAATCTAGCCTGAAATTTGAGCTATAAGCAGCAACTATATCTATCTTATTTCAGCAAAAGATCTTCTGTCCTGCAAGTTTTATCATCGTAAATCAACTACTCTCCAAAGACAGTCGTCTCTTGCAGATGTTGTACCAGTCCGAGCAAATCTCCCGCATATCACAACTCAATATATATCGTCCCCATACATTCTCAGCACCCAAAATCAAGAATCAGCGCGTCCGCGTCGAGTCTGCCTTCCAGAAGCGCGCACGAAAGACTTCAGGGCCCGCTCGAATATCTCTCTCAGAGCGTTCATCGTCTCTTCCGTCTCAGGGTCATTGTCGAAAGCCTCTTGGATCGCCTTCAACCTTACAATATCAGACTGCGCAATATCGCCTTCCGCGAGGTTCGCCCGCGCGAGTCTCACAGCGTAGGCAGCCTTGCATTCACGTTCTAATTGCTTGAACTGATCAGAGTCGTGAAAATCTCGCGTCGATCCATCAGCTCGATATCGCCCGAAGTCCCGCAACGTCGCATTCATCGTCAAGATTTCGGTGAGTGTCTCTGGGTTGGTTGCAAGCAGCAGTAGCTGCTGCTGCTGGATATCTATATGTGCTGCCGATACCTGGTAGATCTCCCGGTACATTTCCTCGTCGGCCGGGTCATGGAGGATTCCTAGCAAGAACAAAGATGTATCTGCGGCAACGTCTGGTCGCGAGATCTTTCCTTTGAAGGTAGAGAATATCCCCTTCTCGGAGACTCCTGCGCCGCGGTATTGATACCAGCGGCCATCGTATCCGCGGCGCTCTTTGGCTTGCTCCCAGTACACCCTTCTCCCAGAAACACCAATCTCAACCAGGGGAGCTTGGCGCTCGATTGTCTGCTCAAGTTTTGCCACCTGCTCCGCGTATATGGCGTTAGCCTTGGTCAATTGCTCTGCCCTTTCTTCCACAGCCTGCACCTTTTGCTGGCGTAATTCTTGATCTCGCTCGAACCCAATCTTGAGTTCAGCAAACTTGTCCAGGTCAGCTGCGCGTTTGGATAGCAGCTGCAGCGCAGCATTTATCTCTGCTAGTGTTTCCGCATGAGCCGATGACATCTTGGCCAACGAAATTTGAGCTTGGAGATCACAAAATTTCAGCTCTAGATCCCTCTTTTCTGCTGACAGCTCATCGATGTGTAGCTGATGTCTTTCCGCGGCCGCTTTGCGGTCTTGTTCGACTGCATCAACTCGGTTTTCAAGAGCCTCTGCCTTCTTTTCAAGCTCCCCCTTTTCTTTTATAAGCTGATCAGCCTCAAATCGAAGCTTCTCGGCAGCGGTATCATGATTATTTTCTGCAGTCAAAGGCTGAACGTGGCTATTCGTGGAATAGAGTTCGTAGCATCGGTCGTGGGGACCTGAGAATGCAGATTCGAAGCTTTCACAGCTTGCAATGGAGATAGAGCGTATATGTAAGCTTTGAAGCTTTCGAACATTGTCTCTGGTTGTGGCGGAAAAGGTGCGCGGGGTCTGGGCGTGGTCTCGACTGGTGGTGTTGAGAGGCCGGGACTTGAAAATTGAAAGTCAGCAAATGAAATGAGATTGTGGATACGAACGTACCTGTGTGGTTGCCACCTTTGGAGAGCTCAGATCGCGTGGATCGTACTCTCCTGTGACATGTTTAGTATCGACAGCTACACCAATGCGAGCAGCGAGGCCTCTGAGACTCACCTTGCGCAGGACCACTTTTGGAATGATCGGGTTCGACATTCAAAGGCGTAGACGAGTTCCTCTAGGCACTGTCTTTTAGTACCTCACGATTTCAAAAAACAAAATTCAGTGTCCTCACCTTCCGATACTTCGCGTTGCTCGTCAGGTTGCTGGCCTTTTTGGCTGCCGACTCTCCGGCACGCGACGCAGGCGTCGAATGCTTCATGATGAGGTCTGCTGTCGAGGTGCAAGACGCGTTGATAAAGATGAGATGAAAATGACACGGTCGGACATGTATATAGTCTTAGGCTCGTCGCTCAGCCTGCCTGTGTGCAGCAGGAACGCGGTAAATCTGCTGCACGAGGGGTTGGTAGGAACCAGCTGAAGGGGTGGTCAAGTACAATTACAAGTATTCAGAGAAGAGGAATGATGGTTAAGTTCTGATGCAGGTACGGAAGATAGAGGAGTGGAAGAGGTGTTGGTGGAGAGAAGTGGGCGAAGTTCAATCAAATACACCTGTGCTAGTCTGAGTCGCACCTTCCTTCCTACAGTTCGGGAAAACCAACACCTCCCTCAATCACGTGGTATGTAACGTCCCTACCAAATTTCCCCCACGACAGAACCTGATATCTTCAGTGAGGTTTTTAAAAGCAACAGAACTTAATTAAAATCTCCGAGATTATCGATTCTGAAAGTAAACCTGAAATTCATGAGGTCTTCTTGTGTCACTTGACGCTTCCCTTCGAGGAAGTCACGACTTGTCGGACTCTGAGTTCACGCCTTGTTTGCGTTCTCTAAGTCAAGTACTCTGTTGTTTATTTTACGTAAGGATTGGTATCAGATCTTGATCTAGAACAAATTCATAGCTAGATGTGCTCTTTCATTCTTCTTCTAAGCTTGTATCTTTGAGCTGTTCGATATAGATGTCTGCTATAGATATAGTGACTTGGCGGCAAACATTTGCGCTATATTGACCATATCACAGCTAGATTCGGGACAGGACTGATAGGATCACAGGCTTCACGTTTTCTCCACATCTTTCTGGTTGATGTTTGTCTGTCGGGCTTGTGCATTTGCATTTACCATATCTTGTTCCGGCCTATATCTTTTGCTGAGCTTCCTGTTCCCTGCCCTGCAGGCTAGCACCGAAGTGATTTCTCTCAAGGTCGAAGTAGGTCAGGAGCAATGTAGGATGCTTTGCCTTCAAGTCACGACCCTGATACAGAAACGGTGAGGAAATAAGGGTGAATGAGTACTATGGACCTGGACCCGCCCATTCCAATTCTCTAAAGAAAGCCACTGTAGTTACGGGAGTTAGTTGATACATCCATGGAAGAAATATCTGGGGGTAAATCAGGAAGAAGAGCCAAACGACACCCACCACTTAGACATTAATGTTGTCGTCCTGACCCGGGTGGGTAATACGAGAGAGTAACGTTGCAGAAATCGAGTGTTGTCGTGTTAGGAGCGGCCCAAGTGGAGTTAAAGGTATAGTTCCTGACTTCTTTCGCAGCGAAGGAGGGAAACCTGCGCCTGGTAGATACGGATATGGAAATGCATCGGGCGTGCAAGCGAGTGCCGCAGCCAAAGCATTGATGCCAAGTGATGAAGCTGCAGCGAGCAACTGGAGTTGGAACTTCATCTTGACTCGAGGTTTCTATCTACGCCCGTTAGATTTATTCAATCTGTGCCATAGCCGCTCCCTATATATTCGATGGCCCGAGAGTCATTTAAGAGGTAGCCTCTCCTCGCGCAAACCGCCAACTTTCCGTATTGCCGCCCCTTGGTGCCGGAATCCACCTCAAAAGAGGAATATTACCAGAGGATTGAATCATTTAAATCGTCTGTGCAGCTCCCTTCGCCCTCCACGCTTTGCTTTTGCGCCAAATATACCCGAATCCTACTTATCTGGTAGGCTCTATACCCAGCCCAACTGGACCATCTTCCCTATGGTTCAGACTTCTGTAGAAAGTGAAAATTCGTAAGGTTGAAAGCAGGAGAGTTTATTTATTTCACCAAGGAGATGGTGGTGTGTCTCTGGGTGTTGAAAACCCTTCTTAACCATTTTTAAGGATTTATTATAAAAATTTCTAGTGGTAGTAGTAGTAGTAGTAGTAGTAGTTAGCATTGATTTACGTTGGGCGGGTGGCAAAATGCCGCCCTGGGGACCTCCCATGGGGTACGGCGACGTGCTAAGTAAAGGTGTTATATGCAAACTACTATCTAATAGAGAGTAAAAACCACGAAGAGGGAAAGGCTCTTTAATAGATAGTCCCGGGTCTCTGATCCCGCGATATCGCAATCCTTATACAGCCCTCAAAAGCATTCCAAAATATTGTAGCGAGGCTACTATCGACTAAGCCCTTCTCTTATAAATAGGATAGATCATAGAAACGAAAAATCTTATGTCGAAGGAAGAACCCGTAAGGCAAGTTACAGCGTAACGTATATCGGTGTCGATATCGAAATCGAGATAATTCGAGGCCGGACCGGAGGTCGGCTAGATTTCGGAGGCCGCGGTAGGCTAGATGTGCATGCGAACGGTTCTTCGAAAGCGCAATATCGTAGATCCGTCCTGAAACATTTCCCACTTCTCACACCCGTTCCCACTCTATCGACAATCCTCTTGGTCTTTTCAATCGGTATACCCGTCAAGTATAGATCGTAGTCGGCGTAGTGGTCGAGATAAGGAAAGAGATCCGGAACCGCCGGTAAAGGAAAATCTCTTCGAAGAGACGTCGTATATCGATGATTTAATTTCGGCTTTCTAGACTGTTTATCTCTCTTTCTACCGCAAG